AGGGGGGAGTTTGGTAACTTATTTTCGATGATCGGAATGGTTCCGGTACATGGTCATCGTCCTCGGCTGTGGACATGGCTATATGGCTGGCTGGCGGTCGATCAACAGCCGAGGCGCCGCGCAAGGGTGAGCTCTTCCGCCGTATTGTGCCGCGCAAGTTCATGCGGCTGGTGCAGACAGAGCACATGCGGGCGCTGGAGAACATGGGCGAGTACGAGGACGCCGTAGGTGGTGAGCTGTTTCCCGGGAGCGAGCCGCAGACGCCGATTCCGTATGCCGGTGGCGATGACGATGGGCGCCCGCTCCCGACGCTCGACGGGCCCGAGGTGTCGCCGGTGAGCGCTATGCGGGCAGCGACACCCGAAACGGCCGACCAGGAGGTTCCGCTTCTGGCCAACTCGTCGTCAGCTCGATACCGGCCCTCAGTCCGCGGCGGAGTGGGCGCGCCACAGGTGCCGGAGCGGGCCATGCGGCCGTCGACCGCGTCGTCGTTCATGTCGGTCTCGTCGTGCGGCTCGCTGCTCCGCGGGCCGGCCTCACCGGCGTCACCCATCGAGTCGTTCCTCGAGGGCGGCGAGCCGGACTTTGAGCCCCGCTACCTGCTCGTCGACATCCGGACCGAGGACGAGTACGCAGAGTGCCACCTCGACGGCGCAGTCCACTTTCCGGCAGCTCGCCTCTCCCGCTCGTGCAACGTCTTTACGCCAGAACTCCGCAGGTACAAGAACAAGACCGACTCGATCGTTATTGTCTACGATTCGGCCGAGAAGCGCGCGCCGCGCGTGGCGCAGCTCCTCTTTCAGCAGGGCTTCAACAACGTGGTCCTCCTTGTCGGCGGCCTCAAGGCCATGGCCGAGCAGTTCCCAGACATGATCCTCGGCACGCTCCCACCCGACGCCGTCCCGTCGCCGCCGCCTTCCGCCCGTCGTCGCCGCCGCCGCGACCGCGCGCCCGGCACCGCCTCAACCTCGGCCTCGCGCCTCGACGAGTCGTATGCCTCGTCGTACCTCTCCAACGCCTCGCGCCAGTCGGACCTGTCGCGCCTCCCGGGCTTTAACGCGCGCACCAAGGGCAACATCTCGGCATGGCACTAGCGCCCCCCTTGCATACACACGCACACACTCGCCCACGCAGCGAAAGAGCTTTGTTGTTTGTTAGAGTCCAGAGCACAGTGCCTTACGAGATGAGGTCGGCAACAGTGGCGGGCATCTCCTCGATCGAGGTCGAGTAGAAAGCCTCGAGGTCGCGCAGGATGCGGACGTCATCGTTGGTGACAAAGTTGATGGCGACACCCTTACGGCCGAAACGACCACCGCGGCCGATGCGGTGCACGTAGTTCTCGCGGTTCGACGGGAGGTCAAAGTTGATGACGAGCGAAACCTGCTGGACATCGATACCACGGGCGAGCAGATCGGTGGTGATGAGGACACGCGACGAGCCGGTGCGGAACTCCTGCATGATGAGGTCACGCTCGCGCTGCTCCATGTCACCGTGCATCGACGAGACGGTAAAGTCGCGCTCGGTCATCATGTTGGTGAGCCAGTCGACCTTGCGGCGGGTGTTGACGAAGATGACGGCCTGGGTGATGGTCAGCGTCTCGTACAGGTCGCAGAGCGTGTCGAGCTTCCACTCCTCGCGCTCGACGGCGACGTAGAACTGCTTGATACCCTCAAGGGTCAGCTCGTCGCGCTTGACGAGGATCCGGATCGGGTCGCGCATGAAGCGCTGCGTCACCTCGAGCACATCGAGCGGCATGGTGGCCGAGAGGAGGACAACCTGGACCTTGGACGGGAGCAGGCAGAAGATGTCATAGATCTGGTCCTTGAAGCCACGCGAGAGCATCTCATCAGCCTCATCGAGCACAAACATCTTGAGGTGGTCGACGCGGAGCGCGCGGCGGTTGATCATGTCGAACACACGGCCGGGCGTACCCACAATGATGTGGATGCCCTGCTCGAGCGTGCGCATGTCCTCGCGCACCAGCGTACCACCGATGCACGCGTGCACAGTCGTCGACATGTAGTCGCCCAGCGCGATCATCACCGACTGAATCTGCGTGGCAAGCTCGCGCGTCGGCGCGAGCACAAGAGCCTGCGTCTCGTTGAGCGAGGTGTCCACAGACTGGAGGATCGAGATCGTGAACGTCGCCGTCTTACCGGTACCGGACTGAGCCTGGGCAATGACGTCACGGCCAGTCAGAACCGGCACAATCGCGCGCTGCTGAATAGCAGACGGGCGCTCGAAACCGTAGGCGTAGATGCCACGGAGGAGGTTCTCCTGGAGGCCCATGTCGTCGAACGACTCGACAACCTCGAACCAGTTCGAGTCGATGTCGGCGTCGGTGATGTCACCCTGGATGCCCGACTCCACGGGCGGGTTGTCAATACTGTTGTACCGAGAGAGGGGGGGAGGGGGGGGAGGGGGGGGGGGGGGGGGATCGCGTGTGAGTCGTCCATCGCAATGTGCTTTCCTCCGCATGCGGTCGTCATGACCCTGCTCTCCTCCGCATGCGGTCGTCATGACCCTGCTTCTTCGCCTGCCTTCCTCGCCGCCACCAATTTGCCACCCACCGTGTTCCATAAACATGGCGCAAGGCGGGCGCAATGGCGGAGATGAGCTGAACAAGGCAGGAAAACGAGGTAGGTGCATAGTTCGACATGCGCTATGTCCATCCTGCTTCTTTTCCGCGTCAAAGGAAATACCGCAAGCCCGTTACGGGTTGAGGAAGCCCCTCAGGACCGGCCGACCGAGTCAGGATCCGAGCGAGGCTCGATCAATCCGACAGAGCGGGGCGGGGATGGCCGAGGGTGGTGTGGGGGAAGAAGAGGATATAGAGAGCGGGAAAGTGGGGTATGGGGATGATGGAGATGTGGCACAAGTCGTAGTTGATTTGCGCATGCTCGCAACAGCCGTAACACTCATGTAGCAGGTGCAGAACGGGTGTGGGGGACGGCTTGACGAACTCGCCATCCACCAAAAAAATGGCCGCATCCACAACCGGCTGTCCCCCCCCCTCCCCCCCGTGAGGGGTGGGGGGGGGGGGGGGGGGTTGACAGCTTTGCCACAGGTAGCGGGTATGGGCAAAGTTATGAGAGTACCAATACCAGAGGTACATGTGGTACTGGTAGAGGTTGGGAAAGATGTCAGGAGATGGTATGGAGGTAACGTACTGCTCGGTGTTGGCAGACATGATGGTAGTTTCGTAAAGCTTGGTTGTCTCTGTGAAAGAAGACGAGTGGTAGCAATTACCGCACGCCATTGTCGTTCAATCAATTGTATTGAATCATATGCTCAACCGCCTCGCTGTTTGGCCGTGCCTGTCTGCCGTGCCCCGAGCTGAGCAAAGCAGCTGGGCGAAGCAGGTCATACTGGAGCGAACGATTGATCCTGGCTACGCTTTCCAAACCCCGTCAGGTCGATGGTGCATGGACGGCGATAGAGCGCTGATGGGATGGTGGGTGGGCAGGACGCAGGCACGATGCGAGTGGTAGCGATGCGATGGAGAGGGGCAGACTGGAAGAGAGCCTCGTTCTCTTTCTCTCTCCAAGAGTCATCGAGCCCGTAGAGTCGCCGTTGAGCCGGCAGGCGGCAACCCAGATGTGGTGAAGGGACTCGCAAGCCAGGCGCGACGTCACGGTATGGTACCGTGTGGCGTGATACGGCGTGCGCATGTGGGACGGCGGCGCGATCAGAGGCGGAGCTTGAACTTGGAGACCTTGAGGACGCGGCGGATGGTGATCGAGGTACGGGTAGCGCGAGGGACGGTGTACGCCGGGGAAGCAGGGAGCGGGGCAGTTGCGGGCGGATGGAGGACAGTGGCAGCGGAGGGATGGGCGGCGCACCAAGCTGCGGCGTCGGCGTAGTTGTCGACAGTCTCGGGGCTTATGACGTCGTGCTCACGGGCGTCGATGCAGTGGAGGACATCGGTGTAGGCGGCATGGGCAAAGACAAGCAGCGAGCGCGGCGGGAGGAAAACAGCCGCAATCTGCTCCCGCGACACCTTGTCAAAGAACTGCATGACGATCGGCGCGCCCAGCGAGACAATTGCCACCTTGCCCTCGTACAGAGGCCCATCCTCATGGGCAGCAATGCCATCTCCGGCCGCGTACTCGTTGATCAGCGCGTGGTTGGCCGGTGAGTCGCAGAAGAGTGGCGACAACGATGATGATGATGATGATGATGATGATGGCGACGAGAGGCGTTGGCACAGATTTTTGAGCCAAGGCGGGAGAGCAAGGGGAATCATCCCCTTGGCCATGGGCGTACCACCCCATGACTGGACTCGCCTTCCGCGGACCTCCTTCCATCGCTTGCTCGGTACGGTGGTCACCTTGTGCAGGAGGAGTTCTTCCTCTGCCACACTCAACCATTCGTTGACCACACAGACCGTGGCGAGGCTGCCGCATGCGTGGTCCGTAGCCCACTCGGGAAGGCTGTCGGTGGCCATCGATGCAGGGTATGGGCCGAGTTGGGTGTGCGGCTGTGGGGGAAGAGGAGAGGAGATTGGCGAGATTTGCTTCAATTGTGTGTGTGGGGGGGGGGGGGGGAAGAGGGGGGAAGGGATGGGAATAAGGGCAGGCGGGAAAAAGGGATGGGGGGGTAGGGGTGGGAGTGGGGAGTGTGGGGAGGGGGAGGAGGGAGGGATACGGTCCGGTTAGTCCAAGTGGAGCAAGCTCCGATCGAGGAGGATCCCTGAAGCGATGGGAAAAGGGTCAGTCTGATCGACAGAGGACAAGAGACGTGCAGACCCTGAGGCTGGTGACGGACAGGCGGGCGGCGGAATAGAGAGCAGAAAGAGCGAGCTGTGTTCGTTGAGGATGACGTGGAGCGGTGAGAAAAGGTCGTGAAATAATTGGGGGCCACACACACACACAAAAATAAAGGTGGATTGTCGTGCCGACCATCTCCACGCTTCCTCGGACAGGAGCGTATGGAGAGGAAGGGCATCAGTGGAAAGAAGATATATTGTTTTGCTAGTCTACATGGTTATTCAGTAGCCAAGCGTTACGTCTCATCATGTACACCGCGACATCGAGAGCACGCTGAGCGCGCAGTCATCGATTTTTTGGGGGAAGTCGCAGCCGCGACAATCTCACCATCTCGAAAAAATAGCCCAACCCACAGCCCCTACACAGCCGCCGTCCGCAAGGACGCGCGTCTGTAGGGTATGCAGGCAAGGAGGGGAGGCATGGCGTGTGACGTACTCATTGGCTAGGGGGTCCACATGGGGTGGAGGAAGGAAGAAGAAAGGGGGGAGCGGACCGCACGGGGGCGGACCGGAGGCGAGAGTGGTGTGTGTGAAATGAAAACAATCGGTCCCGCAGCCGACAACGACGCGTTCGACTCGCCAAGGCGGACTCGATCCGATCCGACTTTGCGCTGCGATCGAGTCAAGGTTGGGTTCGGCGCGGTGCGGCCAGAGGTTGTGGGAATTGGCGGGCAGGCGGAGGGGTGACTACTGAATGACGTCTGAAGAGGTCGGACAGTAGATATGGCCGTCGACGGTCGGGTTGAGGGTGTGGACCTTGCGATCGGGCGGGAGGAACATGTTGTTCCAGAGGCCGATGGCAAAGGCCTTGTCACCAAACAGCGACGGGTGGAAGCAGTCCAGATCGGAGAGGTAGTCCTCGCCCATGGCTGGGATGTTCGCACGCTCGTTCTGTGGCTGGACGACGACCCAGGAGGTGGCCGGATCGAGCTTGGCCTGGAACTTGGCGACGACGGCGTGGGTAACGTTGTTGAAGGCAACGACGGCCTCGCCCATGGCGGCGCGGCCCTCCCAGCCGTACTTTTCCATGCATCCGCACTCGGACTGGACGATCTTGAAGATCTCGCGGCAGTAGGCCTTCTGCTGGCCGGCGACGTAGACGTCCGAGACGTTGAAGATGGTGAGGACCGAGACAAAGGTGCGCGGAAATGTGGCAAAGACCTTGTCGAGCACCGCCTCCATCTTGGCCTCGTACGCCGCAGCCTGCGCTGAGATGTTGCCGTGCTTGCACGCGCCGCAGATGTCGTTGGCGCCGATCCAGAGCGTGAGCAGCTTGTTCGAGTCTGCCAGCGACGTCGAGGCGTACTTGGTCTTGAACGTGTGCTCGAGATACTCGATCTGTGCCGGCACGTCTGAGATCTTTGCACCCGACACAGCAGCATTAAGCGCCTTGCCCTTTGTCAGCGGCAGGCTCGTTCCCGTCGCGGCGCCGACCACATGACTGTTGTACGTCTTGATAAAGTTGGCGACCGTCAGCGCGCCCTTGTTCCCGCCCATCGAGTACACATCGCCTCGCCACTCGAGAACATCGGCAGGAAAGACGCCACGCATGGCAAAGCCCGCCGTGATCGAATCTCCCAAAGCCATGACCACATCGACGTTGCCCGGGTGTAGGCTCCGCATGGACGCTGCCGGCGGTGGAGGCGTTTCCGGCCGCGTGCAGGTGAACGAGGGGAGCGGAGGCGGAGCCACCAAGGCATACGCACACATCAGCAAAAGTGTGAGGACCATACACGTCCTGCCTGCGTTCATCATGTTCGACGGGCTCACGGTCAGGTGCGTCACGTGTAGCGGCGAAAAACGGTCGAGCAGTCAAACGATTGTTTTGTCGTTGGGATGATCGTTGGTGGTTGGTGATGGTGGTGGTGGTGGTGATCGTTGTGGGGGTGATTGTTGGTGGTGATCGTTGTGGGGGTGATTGTTGGTGGTGATCGTTGGTGGTGATCGTTGCCATGTGATCATTCGTTACGATCATTTGTCAGTCAAACGATTGTTTTATCGTTGGGATGATCGTTGGTGGTTGGTGATGGTGGTGGTGGTGGTGATCGTTGTGGGGGTGATTGTTGGTGGTGATCGTTGTGGGGGTGATTGTTGGTGGTGATTGTTGGTGGTGATCGTTGCCATGTGATCATTCGTTACGATCATTTGTTGTTGAAATTATCGTTGGTGGTGCGGCGAGTGGCGGGCGGGCAGACAGTGAGCGGCAACGGACCAACGGCGGTGACACTCTTCTTTGCCGACGTGAGAGGACGGAAGCGGGAGAGCAACGGGAGGAATGAGCTCCCCTCTTGCCAACTTTGTCCATCTATTCCGCCATGCAGAGGCTGCAGAGGGCCTGTACCATGTCCGCAAGGTCACACGCGGTACGGACAAGAGTCGGGCCATGTCGACGTGCTCGGGGAGGGGGGGGGGGGAACAGGGGAGGGGACAGGGGAGGGGACAGGGGAGGGGACAGGGGAGGGGAGGATGGACCTCGTCATGGTACCTGTGGTCGTGGGTATAGCCATTGTCACTCACATTGAAATATCGTTGCATGCAATGGTGGTGGCACCACGAAATTGACTCGATCCGCACGCCCTATGGCCATCCTCCTCCTCGCGGCTTGCCGCCAACGGCATGGTTCGCGGACTCGGTCGCATCGCCCGTTGTGGCCTTGCCTGTCATCCGCACCGCCTTGGCCCGGCCCGTCCACAGGATCAAGAGGGGTGGGAGAGGAAGAGGTTCCGAGCGGCTCGCTCGCGTTCAACGCGGCGTACTCGTCGCTCACGCCCGCCACACGCCGGTCAACGCTGATGGGCTCCGAGGCCGATGTCGAAGCTCCGCAGGACGCCCATCTTCGCCCGACCAACACCATCCGCGCCATGGGCACCTCACACTGGGATCCGTCGCTCGAGGACGAGACGATCCGGCTGCACCCGCAGGGCGACGTCCGCGGCCCGCCGTCGGCGCTGAACTCGGCGGCATCGGCCATGGCGGCGATGCCAGGCGTGGGTGCTGGCGGTGGCTCGTCGCCGCCGCGGCGCGCTTCGCCATCGCGGTCCGGGCGGGCCAGCAGGCAGAGCCCACAGCGGGGCGGCGCTGGCGCCGGCGACAACGCCGATGGCGAGGGTCCCCGCGGCGAGAAGGACATCGCCGCGCTGCTGCTGGGCATGGCGGACGAGGTGCGGAGGAGCAAGGGCAAGCCCGCGAGGTCGCCGCTGAGGCGACGGAGGGAGGTGCCGCCCAGACTTGATCCACTGCCGCTGCTGCCGGCCGGCAAGAGCGGCGAGACCGCCACCGCCGGCCTCGCCCTCTCCGCCGGGCCAGCCTCGCCGGCAGGGTCGGGCGGAATGCGGAGCGCAGGCGGCAGCGCCAGCGTAGGCGGCAGCGCCAGCGCAAGCACCAACGCTGCCGTGCCCAAACGCGTGGCCATCACCGTCCGCACTTCGCTCAAGGACCATGCAGTGCTCGCCGACTCCTCGCTCCGGGCCGGGCTCTCCGGCAACGAGGCCAAGTCGTACTTTTCGCAGGGCATCCTCTACGACAACGAGGCGCAGTACGAAAAGGCGCTCGAGTGCTATCGCAAGTATCTCGCCGCGTGCCACCGCGCCGGCGACGTGCTCGGCGAGGCGCTTGCCTACAACCACATGGGCGTCGACTACCAGGTCCTCGGCGGCGAGAACTACAAGCTCGCCCTGCTCTGCCACGCCAAGCATGCCGAGATCGCCGACGAGGCCGGCCAGTTTATTGCGCAGCACAACATGGGCCTCTGTTACACTGCACTCGGACAAGACGACCTCGCTATCCAGCACTACGAGCGCGCTCTCGAGCTCGCCACATCCCTCCGCGACCCGTCAGGCGAGGCAATGGCCGCCGGCCAGCTCGGCGCCGCCCTCGGCCGCCTCTCGTCGCCCGAAGAGGGTGTGCGCTTCATCCAGCGCAGGGTCGAGCTCGCTGACGCGCTCGGCGACGTGCACGAAAAGGCGACCGCATACTCTCAGCTCGGCGACCTCTTTGCCGCCATCTCGGACGTCGAGTCGGCCATCCGCTACTACGCCGGCGCCGCAGACCTCCTCGCCGACGCCGACCGCCAGGCCGCAGCCAAGACCTACGCCGACCTCGGCCAATACGTCAACGACCAGGGCATGTACGACGAGGCCCAGCACTACTACGAGACCGCTATGCAGCTTGCCATCCGCGTCGATGATCCAGAGCTCGTCGCGCGCGCACGCTGTGGCGTCGGCATCGCCCTTGGCAACGCTGTCCTCGGCGATCATCTCGAACAGGTCAAGCGGGTCATCGTCGACACCACGCCGCTCCTGCACATCCAGCAAGGGCCGTGACTGTCACTCACTTGCGCACAATGGTAAACTCGCCAAAGTCAGCTGCCCCGCGCTTGCGGTACCGCTTCTGCGTGCACGACTCGATCCGCGACTTGGGCGAGCCCTTGGTCGCCAGCCAGCGAGCCCTGCAAGACAATCAAGTCGGGAAAGCAGGTGAGTGCGATGGACACCACAAGCAGTCTGGTGCAGGTAGATGGCAAGTAACATGGGGGCGTATCGAGCTAATTCTGACACGTACATCTTCTCCACAGCCTCGGCATCTCCTTGAACCTCACCAACCACCGTCCTCCGCGTCGTCCTGTTCCTACACCAGCCGACAAGGCCCAGCGCATCGGCTGTCTTTTTCGTCCACTTTCGGAAAAAACGCCCTGCACTTTGCCAAATACCTCAAAGCGAAGACAGTCGACGAGCGCTGCCGCTGCGAGTGAGTCCGAGCCCGAGCCACAGCGAGCGCTGCCGCTGTTGTCGTCGCCGCTACTGCTGCCGCACGAACTGGGGCTCGCCGGGCTGGCAGACTCACACAGTGCGCCTCTGGCAGACATGCTCAACGCGTCCCGGTCGGTGGTATGGTGCGGTGTGGGTAGCCGTTGCCCGCCGCCTCCAATCCCTGGAGACTCGGCGAGTCGATGTGAGCGGCGATTCGGCCTCGCGACGGTAGCCCGACAAGCCGATCACCTGCGCCTCGACCACCGACCGCCGTCATCCCCCAATCACCTGCGCCTCGACCACCGACCAACAACTCTCGACTGAAAACTGCACGATTTATCGGCTACTGCGGCGGGCCGAGCTGGCCGTCTGCGGTCACGCCCTGACCAAACACATCCCACTGCGCTCCGCGGTTGTCGTCCCACGTCATCACGATGGGGACCTCGCCGATCTCACCGAGTGGCGTCGCGATGGTCACAGCGTACTTTGACGAGGAAGCGTCCGAGACCGTGGCGTTCCACACGATGGTCGCGTCGCTATGAGCGTCGCCGATCCGCAGCAAGCGGAGCGTGTTGTACGGGTGGCCGGTCGAGTATCCGAGGAGGAGCGTCGAGCCCGATGGATAGGTGGTCAGCAGCGGCTGGTCGGCGTTGACCTGGGTGGTGGGCGCGAGCGGGACGATGGGCCAGCCAGCCGGCGACCACGGGCCCGACGACAGTGGCTTGCCGCCGTCCGTGACGTTAAAGGCCGAGACATAGATGCCGCGCTCGTCCTGTGCATGCGTTGCCGCCATGTACACCACGTACACCACGCCGCGCTCGGAATCGTAGGCCGGGATCGGCACCAAGTACGACAGCGCCGAAGAGTCGGCGACAGGCACGCCGCCGGGAGTGAAGAGCACCTTGCCCGACGCGTCGACCATCTGCCAGAACGCCTCAAAGGTGTTGTGCGGAGTAGTGACAAACCATGCGAGGACCACCTCGGACGCCGGCCCGATACGGAGCTGCGGGTACACGCCTGACGCCATTTGACTCGCCGAGTAGATGGTGATGGGCGCGTCGCCCCAGAGCGGCTTGCCGCTCTTCCAGTCGTAGGCCGCCATCTGGAGCCAGTGGTCCTTGTGCCGACGGGTATCCTTCATCCACGCCACCACAAACATCGGCTGCCCGTCGTTAGCCATGCCGGCGACGACCGAGAGCATGCCGGGCTCCTCGGGCGAGTTGGCGTACACGCACACGCCGCCAAAGGGCCAGCCCATGGCACCGCCGGCGGAAATCCGCTGCGCGCGGATACAGGTATGCTCGTGCCCGTTACGCTGAAAGTGCGGCCAGACCACCATCCACTCATCGGCGCCGTCAGCCCGCTGCACCACCCTCGGCTGCGGCTCAAAGTCGTCGTTGTCCGACAGCAACAGGCCGTATCGGCCCCACGGCGTCGTTCCGTTGGCCTCCAGCCGGGTCAGCACCACGTTCTCGTACTTGTGCGCCTCAACACGAGCCGAGCTGTCATCGCCAGCATCATCAACACCGTTGCTAGGCCGCACAGCATCATCCTGGTCACCGCGATGGCGACGATCGTTAAAAGCGACGACAACGGCGCCGCCCGCCTCAGACTTGGTGTCGTAGCCCCAGAGCGCCGGGCCTTGGTCCTCTGCCGCGAGCAGCGTTCCCGTCTTCCCGTTCATCCGCATGCCGTCCTTGTCGACCCGCTGGACTCTAAGGACGTAACGGGCGAGAGCGTCATCGAGTTCAAAAAAAGTAGTCCAGAACGAACCCCCTAACGCCGGGACAGTCACCGGGCCAACCTGTTCCAGAGCCACCGACGACGGAGCAAGCGGTGTGTTTGTCGAGGGCGAGGGCGACCACTGGGCAGAGCTGGCAGTGGCGAGGAGTACAAGGAGAAGGAGAAGGAGAGTGGCGAGACCGTAGGCGCTGTGGTCGAATACATGGACACGCCCTCCTCGCCAAATCATGCTGCCTGTACTCGTGCGGGAGTCAGGTGGGCGCACACACCAAAGCTCATCCCGCGGAAGCGTCACTCGGCGCACGGCTCAAAGTAGGAGCGCAAACACAGACGGCGCGCAGAGGGCGCATTGAGGAAGGGAACAGCGTTCACTACTAGAGAATCTTCTTGGCGGCCTCGCGCTCCCGCTTCATCTCCTTCCACGTCTTGGAGTTGAGGAGCGAGGCGTAGTGCGATGAGGCAGGCCGGCTGGAGAAGGCCCCGATGCGGGCAAGCGGCGAGATGGCGGCGCCGGGCTTCTGGGCCTCGCGGCCGTAGTTGGGAGCAGCCCACTCGGTGTAGCCTGGCACAGACGCCGACCGGCGCACCACGTTGAGACGGATCTTGAGCGAGCCGGAAGACTCGGTCTCGAATCCGAGCTTGTTGAGCGGGGTCCCAGCCTCATGGCTCGACGGGACTGCGGCGTGGCCAAACTCGGCGAGCTCGGGCGAGCCGCCGATAAAGTACGACTGCAGCTGCTGCCGGACCGACAGTGCAGGCTTCCACGTCGGAACCTCGAGCATGTAGTGTCCCGGCCGCGCAGGGAGGTCGACGTGTGCGTAGCCCTCGAGCCGGTTACGCTCCCACCAGTCGTAGGACGCGACCTTGAGCAGCAGCCGCGGCATGGCCGGCACCTCGGTGTGGTCGTCCGGCGAGAGCGGCTCGCCGTCGGGCCCGAGCCGCGCCGCCGGTGGGCGCCACTCAAACTGCGCCTCGAGCGGGAGGCCAAACATGGCTGTAGGAATGGTTGCCTGCGTCGACCGCCCGTCAGGCAGCCCGGCAGCGGCCGCACTCACCCGCCGAACCTGCGCCAGCTGGGTCACTCCCTCCAGCACGGGCTTGCCGCCCCGGCCCGACCCGGCCTGCAGCGGGCGGGCGCTCCAGCACGAGTCGTCGACCTCGAACGCGTACTGCACGTACAGCGCCTCGCCGGTAAACTCGGCGCCCGACACAATCTCGCCCGTCACCACGTACAACACGTGCGACGCCGGTGGCGACGGCTCGAAGAACCGGCCCACCGCCGCGTTGTGCCGCGTCTCATCATCCGCCGCCTCGGCCTGTGCCGCCTTGTACTGCTCGATCACTTCGTCCGCGCCCATCGCGCTGGCCGAAGCGTTGGTCACCTCGACCACGTACCGCTCGTTGCCCACAAGCACCTCGCGCGCCACGCCAAAGCCTGGCGTCACCTCGAGCATCCTGGCCTGCGCATACCACGCCAACCTGGCGACAATAAACGGCTCTGCCCCGCCCTGTCCGGGCGGCGTGAACAGAATCCGCATCTCCTCCGGCACCTCGTCCACCAGATGCTTGCCTGCCACATCGGCGTCGTGGCCATCGACCTGCCCCGCCTTTGCTTCAACCACAGCTGCCACCAACGGCGAGACAGCTGTCACCTCTGCACTCTTTCCCGCTTCTGCTCTTGAGCTTGACGCCGGCGTACGACCATCGACCGCCACACCACCTCCAGCCCCCGCAGCAGACTTGTTCGCCGACCTTGCCTTTGCATCCGACTCTGCCTGGACAGCTTTTGAATGAGCTGCCAGCTGCGAGCGAGTGACGAGCGGTCGTGTCTCTGCCTCCAAACTCATCGGCGCATCATTCTCCGTCACCACCATGAACCGATCCATGTCATCTCCGTCCACCAGTGCGTTCCACCGTGCCCGCGCAGAGTACTCGGTCCGTCCGCCCGTTGCTCCCATCGATCCCAAGCCAGCCCCAGCCCCAGCCCCAGCTCCTGTGCTTGTGCCTGTGCCTGTGTTTGTGCCTGTGCCTGCCCCAGCTCCAGCTCCAGCTCTGGCTCCGGCCCAGCTCCGCCTCCGGCTTTGGGTGCGAGTCCGGCTGGCTGACCGACAACGCCTTGTACGACACGGAAGGAGAGGATGAGGTGGAGAGCGGGTCAGGCGAGTGGTACGCCACAGTCCGTCCGATACCAAGCATCGTGAGGGACATACCACACGACAGTGCTCCTCCTTGATGTGGTGAGTGAGAGAGTCGTGTGCCCCAATGCTCGTAATGCCCGTACCTACACCCATCCCCCCCTCCCCCCCCGTCTTAGCCAAACTCCGGCGCCAAAATCAAAACCCTTTGAATCCGTCGTCTGTCGCTTGTTCACACCACTTTCCGCGCCATTTTTTTTGGCGCCAACGGTTGGGGGGGGTTTTTGAAGGTACCCTGAAGTCCTCGTACGCATGCAGCTAGAGTAGGAGAGGATATCTGGAGTGTTGAGGGCAGAGAAGGAGGACGTAGTAGATGAGGAAGGAGGGCGATGTAGGTGGCGTGTCGCGGAGAGAGGGAGGGAGGAAGACAGCGCGATGGCTTGGCCGGTTGCGTCGTATTTTTGATCAGTGATCGCGTTCATGATTGCAGGCATGACCAGCTGGGACTTGTCTGCACTGATGATTGGGCGGTGGTCGGCACTCAGATCGCATCCAAGTAGTGCACACACCCATCCAGATCATAGATCTACCCAATCGTGGGCGCATCACGTTGTCCATCAGCAAGTGGTGCACTATACCTTGCCGGCCGCCCGATGAGCCGACGCCAACTCGATAGCTCCCCGTCTCCCGCCGCTCAACCCACTTCTCAACCTCTCCGCCCCTCCATCTTCCAGTCCCTCTGCCAATTCCTCCAGCGAGTTATCTACCTGTCAATCGATCGGTCGGTGCGTCGGTTGGCCGATCGGTCGGCCAGTCGATCGGTCTGTCGGTTCTTCGGCTCGTCGGTTCGTCGGCTGACAGCCTGCCCGATTGGCCCACCCGCCAGCACCACGACCGCGACCACGACCACGTCTCGGACCACCTCTCACGACCATGACGACCCATGAGCTTGAAGCGACTGGTGACGTGGAGAACCACGTGAGGGTCATCCACCGGCAGCTGCACCGACTGGGCATCCCCATCCCTCTCTCCTCCACCGGCGGCGGTGGCAGTGGCAGTGGCAGCAGCGGCGGCGGCGGCGGTGGCGGTGGCGGTGGCGGTAGCGGTGGCGGTGATGATGGCGGAGGGCTGGCGAGTGGCTCGCCTGCGGTGGTGCTGCCTATCTTGGGACACGTGCTCACCAGATGGTCACCACGTGTGACGCGAAAGCTGGCCAACGATGGATTTGTGTTGGGCGGATTGACCGACGGCGCCTTGGCGCCTTTTTGGACGCACTCTTCAAGCTCGGACGGAGTCTCTTGGGCATTCGGCCTCGGCTCTCTGCGGCACAGTTTTTTGCGCCGGGCTTTGTAGAGCACAAGCTGCTCTTCCTTCGCGCCATCCTTGATGCCATTGTCCAGATGGACGCTGATCTTGCAAGAGACGCCGGCGAGCTACCGTTGACAAAGCTCCGCCAGCCGCGTCGTCGGCGCATCGTCGCTGCTCCGGAGCTGGCTCGATCTGCTGATCCGCATCCGGATGCCATTGCTTATCCTCCGCTGCCGGCTGCCGAGGTCGTTGCTCACGCCACGCGCCATGAGGCGACTACAGGCCATGGGTCCGAGGTCGCAGCACGGGCAGCGTTCGCCAGCGTCGAGCTACAGGTGGCGGGCGACGAGCCCGTGGCCCCGCGGCAGGCGCCGCCACCCACTCCCGTCACCCCGCCGCGGCTCCAAGAAGTCCCACCATCCCCGCCGCCCGAAGCGGGCACCGCCGATCCGGACGCTGCCGATGCGGGCACCGACCGGTACTCGGTCCAGCGGCTGCTGGCGACGCTTGTAGGGCACGTTGATAGCCTTTCCGACCGGTTCGGCCAGCTGGAGCAGCGGGTCGACTCGGCACTGGACAACGTGCTTGCCCGCGTGTCCATGGTCGAGGGTCGAGTGGCGCGGTTGGAAGAAGTGCGCGCCATCGAGGGCGAGGCGAGCCCACGGAGGGCGCCGGCGCCATCGCCGGCGCCGGCGCTGGCGACGACGGCTCCTCTACCGGCACAGTCCGAGCCGCCACGATCGGGCGCCATGCTTGCGGCGCTGCAGGCGCGATACGAGGAGCGGCAACGCGTGCTGAACGCGTGCAAGACCTCGCTCTCGCCTCGAAAGTGATCATTGGAGCGGGTGTTTACAAATATAGAGTGGCCACCTCCTTGTAGCCTGTTGCGGAGCGTAGACCTCGCGCCAAGCGAGCTTACTGCTTGAGAAAAGTGCCGAGCCATGTGATAATGGACAGGAGGAAGGCGAGCGGCCGGTCGGTCATGCAGCTCGAGAACTCTTGCGAGTTTGGGATGGAGCGGAGCATGTCCGGAGTAATGACGCCGGCGTCGCCCGGGCCAACGACGCCGCGGACCCCGCCGCGGTTCTCGATCTCGTCGGCGATCTTGGTGAGGAGGTGGTTGGTCAGCCGCACAATAGCCTCCTGTTGGAGCTGGCTCCACTGCGAGGAGGAGTGCTTGTCGCGGGTGACAGCTTCGGCGTTGAGCGCCTTGGCTCGCTTGGCCGGCGGCTCGTTATCGGCCGGCGGCCGCACGTGTGAGACACCTCCGGTCGAGGGCGGCGACATGAAAGGCACGCTGTTGGACATGGTGCCCAGCACCGACGGCGATGGAAGCGATAGCGGTGCGTTGCCGTCGGCCGGCAGCATCGCGCCCGGCGCGGCACCAGCGAGCGGGTCGCCGAGCTCAATCGGCGAGAGACCGGAAAGGTTGGAATCGCCAAACAGCGCCGGCGTCTGGATAAACGGCGAGAGGGTGGCGAGCGCAGCAGGATCAGCAACCACCATGTTCATAACGTCCGAGGTCAGCAGCTCGGCCACGTCATCAGAGAGCAACGAATCCGAGGTTGACGGCGGTGGCGCCATGGCAGACGGCAACGAGATCGGAGTCTTCGCGTCACGGGATGGGCTAGGCATCCCGACGTCGACTACGAGGTCCAATTCGTTGTCGGCGTCGTGCTTGCCGGTGGGCGACGGCCCGCCGGGTGAAGACGACTCGGATGAGCCCGTGCCGGCCTTAGGCACTGACATCTCGTTCTCCAGCTGCGGCGAGTCATCGAGCTCGTCGATGGACGAGCCCTTTGCCGTCGCCATGCGGTCTGACGAGTTCTTACTCGACTCGGACGGGAGGATCGAGTCGACGAGCGAGGAGATGGCTGAAGTCAGTGGGAGTGACACCATCGAATTGCTGGCGAGGGCAGCACCAGTCCGCGGCGAGAGCAACGCACTCGAGTTTCTCCCCATGGCGACTTCACCGGCGGTGACTGCGGCACGGAGCGGGTTCTGGCCCTTGAACACAGCAGCAAGAAAGGTGGCGGTGACGACCGCCACCGACCGCATCAGCGCCGATTCCTTCTGCAGCTTGCGGATCTCGCTCCACATGACCTTGTTCGAGTCGTGAAGCGCAGTGACGGTGTCCGAGTTGGTCGCCCTGGCCGTTGTGCTCGTGCTCACCTGGGAATGGGCCAGCTGTTTCTTGAGGTTGGCGATCTCGGCCTCGAGCTCCTGCTGCTTGGCTTGCATCATCTCGATCTCTTTAGCCTGCTCGTCGCGGGCCTTGTTTCGCTTCTTGCTGCTCTTCTTGTCAAAGGCCTTGCGCTTGACATTGGCCAGCTCGGCTGCGCCATCGCGGAAAAAGTGCGGATGCGAGTATGTGTTGTTCGCCTCGCGCCGGAATGAGTAGAACGAGAGCTGACGGAGGAAGGACGAGAAGTTGTTGTGCCGAAAGACCGACGGGAGGACAACCTCACAAAACTCGGTTAGCTTCTCGATAACAAAGCTGCATCGGACGAGGACGGTTGATGGGTGAGTGGGGAGAGGGGAGAGGGGGGGAGGAGGAGGAGGGCCAAAAAAATAATCACACGTGCGGGCAATTACCTCCAATTAATGCCCGCAGCAAGTCGATCACACGTGCGGAACTTTGACGCTTCGTGTGACTATGCCTTCCCCAAGGGCGGTGGAGTGGCGCCAACAGAGGCCACAGTGCCAAATGCGCACCAAACAAAGACACATGGTGCTTCATGACTATGCCTAGTATCGCTTGGTCTGACCGTAGCCGGCAGAGGGTGGTGGGTTTGCGACCGAGAGACCGAACAGTGACGCTGCGGGCCGAGTGCGAGGCAAACCTTCGCGAAGGGTCAGCGTGCCCCAATCTGACCGCTTCGGTTATTGACTGCGGAGCCAAGAGTGCGCATGCCGAGGGCGCCATGGCTATGGGGGAGGGCATGGTATGGGGACACCAGTAGCAACGCTGGCATGTGCATTGACAGGATGATATTGGCTCTGTGTCTGTGGGGGGGGAGCAAGGGGGGTGGCCGCGTGGCCAAAAAATTGGGCCACCCCTTGTTCGGCCATACGACGACATGGACGGATTCTCATGAGGCCTGTCCGAATACAACGTACGACTTGCCGTCATCTGTCCAATGGACGATATCATCGTGCTCTCCGCCCTGGAGAAGGGCAAACAACCTCGGTGGGAACAATGCGCGCACCATGGCTGGGAGAGAAGTGGCTGGCAGGTCCGCTGTGGTCCTCGGTGGGTCGCGGTTTTCGTCCGAGCGGAGAACCGTTTGCGTGACAAGCGGGATAATGCTACCTGTCAACCGACCATGCTCATGTCGCTTGTGCCTCCAAACGACTCACACGCACCTGACACACTCCAGGGATGTGGGTTGGGGGGGGGGGTGTACACCGCCATCTGCTCCTGTCTAGCTGTTGCTCCTCGACCGCTTTCTGGTACGTAAATTGGCTACGTGGCTATGCGGACGAGGTCAACGGCAGTCAACGGTATCTGCTCGACAGCGCCGAAGCCACCCCCCTGCCACCGCCATGCATGCACATGACGCTGCGGGGTATCTCGACACCACCCAGCGAATGCCCGCCGAGTTGCGTCTGTCAACCTGGCCGGCCACTAGCTCCAATCACCAATCACCCACCATCGTTCACCATCGCCCACCTGCTGTTGCAGGCTCCTCCTGCCTCCAGCGTCAATCCTTCGCCGTTGCTCACCATCGTTGAGCCGCCCGCCGACCGTTTGTCTGTTTCGGCACGGGACGGGCAGGCGGCAGCACTTCACACACTCGCACGCTCTCCAGCATGGACCCCCGGGCACTCCTCAAGGACCTTCAATCACACACGCTCTCGCTCACGCATGAAGTGGCACCTGAGCGGACGGTGACGTACGCCATTGATGACTCGCACGAGCTGGTCATCCACGAGGACGACTCGGGCGGCGTGGCGACGGTGGTGTGGCAGGCCGTCCTCGTCCAGTGCCGGTACATGCTGCGTCATGGCCTGGGCAAGCCTGGTGGAGCTTGCCTCGAGCTCGCCAAAGGCACCGTTGTCGAGCTCGGCGCAGGCACGGGCTTTGTTGGCCTCTTTATGGCAAAGTACCTCGCAGGTGGAGACGTGGCCGAGTCGGACAGAGTCCTCGACCAGGTCTACCTCACCGACATCGATGCGCCAAAGGTCATGGCCGTCCTCGACGCCAACGTGGCCGCAAACGGCGTCGCCGACGTCTGTACCGTCGCTCCGCTAGATTGGCGCGCGCCCGAAGAGTGGTCGCACACATCGAGCGAGGCCGCCGACGGCAAGCCGGTCCCGGCCCACATTGTCGTCTGCGAGTGCGTGTACAATGGCTACTTCCACGAAGCCCTCCTCGCCTCGCTACGCCATCTCGCCGGCAGTGAGACCCTTATTCACATCTGCTTTGCTGAGCGCAACCCCGAGGGCGAGGCGGCCTTCTTTGTCCGCGCCGCAGAGCTCGGCTTTGAGGTCACCAAGATTGCCGACGACATTGTCGACGCCTGCAAGTCGTCCAACGACGCCATCGGCGACAACGAGGCCCCGGTCTATCTGTACATGCTGCAAAAGGCGTCGACGCCGCCTGCTGCATCGTAAACGTTCATGCCTACACCTGCCGCCGGCCTCATGTCCGCCGGCGTGTCGTGCACGCCTGCCGCGGCCGGCGCGGGTTCTTGTGCCGGGCCCGCGCCCGCACTCCCTTGCGCGCCCCGCGGGTTGCCACTGCGTTGCCCTGCGCCAGCGCTGCCCGCGTTTGCGCCTTTTGCTCTCGCGGCGACAGCGCCCGCTGGTTCTGCGCCAGCAGCTCCAGTTTGCGCTCGACCAGCGCCGCCATCTCGGCATTGGGCATGACCACCACGGCCTGCTCTGCCTCGGCATCGCCGCGCGAAGCATCCGCCCCAACGGCTGTCTCGGCCGCGGCCGCGGCCGCGGCTCCATAGCCCATGCCTAAGCCCGAGCCTGAGCCTGAGCCCGAGCCCGAGCCCGAGCCCGAGTCGGACCGCATGAGCGTCGCCGGAAAGTGGACGGCGTTGACGTCGTACTCGCGGTGCTCGACGACCACAAACGAAATCGACGACGAGCCAGCCGAGGCCACCGACGCTACCTCGCTGCCATCGCCACCATCAACGGGAGCATGGTTCTCGTTGCCGTCATCGTCGTCATCGTCATCATCGTCATCATCGTCATCATCGTCATCATAGACCTCGTCAGCCAAGGCAGCCTGTGGCGGAGCAGCAAAGAGCGCCGCCGGGTTCGGCAGCAACGACGGCCACCACCATGAGCTCGACTCGCTCACCACCTCCTGCTGCTGCCCAAGCTCGGCCTCGGTGGCCTCAACTTGAATCCATTCATCACTGGAGGAACCATCCGCCTTGGGCGAGGCGGAGGCGGGCGAGGGCGTTGTTCCATTCGAAGGTTCGTGAGCCATGTCGCGCTCAACTTTCAGGTGTTCCTGAAAAAGCTCGTTCCACACGCGTGGGCGGTAGACGATGCAGCCGTAGGCGACGGGTTGGGCAAGAGATGCACAGCCAATGTGCACACGCGCAACAGGTAGACGGGATCCGGAGCGGTTGGTCAAAGTCTGACGTCCGCTGGCTGGAGCTACGGCGTGGAGTGAGGTATGGCTCCGGCTTGAGTCTGCCGAACTTGCTGCCGAAAGCGCGCGCTTCTTCCGTTTGTTGGTCAATTCGCTCGCCAACGCTGCTACCGGAGCAGGGCGAGGCTTCTTTCCATTCGGTTCGGCACAGGAGTTCTTCTTTTTCGGTGGAGGCAGCGCCTTTCCATTCGAGACGGCAGCCAGAGCACCACAAAACCGCGCGACGCACAGCATGATCTCCACCGTTTTGATTTGCTCCACACGATCACTGTCGACTACGACAGCGAGCACCAGAGCAGCAAGCACATCTACTCATGTCGGACCCTGCAGCGATCTACGCTGAGCTCTTTCCCGAGAAGACCATGTCCAAGCGCGAGCGGAAGAAGCAGCGTGCGCGTGCGCGTGAGCGTGCGCGCCAGGCCAAGCGCAACGCGGCGCGCCAGGCGGCGGCGGCTGAGAATGCCACCGACGCCGCGCCGAAGAAGGTGCGCATGATCCCTGCACTTGACGTCATCGCCCGCATCCGGTGGGACGCGGCGCTCAGTGATGACGCCTGGATCCTCGGCTACGAGGACCGGTTCACCGGCATCCAGGAGGTGACGCTTCAGCAGTGGGACGAGGGTCTCGACCACGGCCTCGGCTCCATCCCCTCGCATCGCATCCGCTACTTTTCGCGCAACGGGACCATTGTCTGGGATCGCCGCACTCGCAAGGCTCTTGCACCGTTTGACGCACCCGCGCCTGCAGCTGCTGCGCCTCTCGCCGCGTAACCCTTAACGCTACGATCTTTCGGACGCGTTGTCGCTCGTCCCAAAGTGAACAACTCGATGATGCTTGACTTTCAGGTCACTGGCCGACGCTGCGCGACGCCTGCTTGGCCTGCGGCTCGACGCTCGTCCCGGCGACGCCGTTGTGTGCGACGTGGGCGACGATCTCGCTGTTCTCGCGTGGTAGGACTCGATCGAGTGCCGTTTCCTGGCAAACTGCTCTCGTCTTCCAGACTCAACGACGTCGCGCAAGCGGAATCGTTCCTCTGCAGCGGCTGCGCGTCATCACCACTATCCCCAACAAGCCGCTCTGCGATGCGGCTGCCTCGCCTGCCGGAAGCTTCATGGTAAGCGATCGCGGCCGCGGACCGTTTGCGCCGCGCGCGGCGTCCATCTCTGCATCGCCGCCAGTGTTCTGTTGCAGCCCACCAGTGGCCACAGCAGCCATAAACACAGTGTACTACTCTTTTACCGCGATTGATGGACGCTGCGACGTCTGTGGAGCGTCGCGGAGCGCGGCTTGCGCGATGGACAAATACGTCCATTCCGTACTGTAAAGGTGTGAGCGCGCGGCGGTGACGGGTCATTCAAGAGGCGCGGCACTGATAAACGCCCAGCTTCGCAAGTCCTCACAGGACGTAGCTATACTGCTCACAGCCGCGAGACAGCGCCGAGCGGAGCGAGGATGTTGGTGCCGGCGGCGGCGGCGGCGACCGCGGCGGCGGCGGTGGATTGCATGTCGCGGGCAACGCCGCCGCGGGCATCCTCGTCGAGGACAAGCGGGCAGACGTTAAAACCGCCGCGGGCCCAGGCGTCTTCCATGGTGCGCCGGGTGGCATCACCGAGGACAAGAGCAAAAACGGCGTCAAAGCCGCCGGCGCCAGGCACGCCGGCAAAGAGCACGCCGGGCTGTGCCATGGTAGCGTCGATGAGCGCCGTCTGTGCCGGCGGCTCGACTGGCACGCCCGTTGCCTCGGTCACCTCGCGCAGCAGCGCCCGCACAGCCTGGAACTCGCTCCGCAACCGGAGCGCAAGCAGCGCCAGCGGCGCAGCCTCACCGCCGACGTCGCTGCCGTCGGCCGCCCATGCCGCCAGTGGCTGTGCGGCCGCATGGGCAACGAGCGCGTCGTAGGCCTGCGGCGAAGCGGTGGCAGCCGCTGCCAGCTCGCCCAGCGTCCCCTCCACCGCCGCGTTCGCGGCGCCGAGTGCGTCCCACACCTGGCGAGCCGCGCCCCCGTCATCGCCGTCACGCCACGCCAGGATACGCCGGACCATACCGGGCGTCTTGGATCCGACGCCGCAGTCGCCGAGCACGAGGTGCATGTGCTGCGGCAGTGTCCACGGTTCGACCACGGCGTCGAGCGCCGGGCCGTGGTTGGCAAAGATGCCCGCGTCGTAGACGCCGAGCCACGCCGCACCCGCACCACCACATCCGGCCTCGCCCAGAGCCTCGGAGAGGCCCGCCAGCCGCTCCGGCGAGAACCGCGTGTACTTTTGCGAGCCGTAGGTGGCCGACGAGACGTCAAAGCCCGAGCCGATCTTGCCTTGCGCGGCGCAGTGCGCAGCCTGGGCCAGGTAGTGCACCCGGTCCTTGGCGGCCCGCACCGCAGTGGCGTCGGCTCCTGCAGGCGGCTCGGCAGGCGCGTGCACGTCTGCAGACACAATCCGCGGCAGCGCCAGCGCGCCCGTGTGCTCCAGCACTGCCGCCACCAGCGCCGTGATCAGCGCCGCCGACGAGCCGAGGCCGGTCTTCACTAGATCCTTGCTCAGGTCCAGAGCCAGGAACGGCGGCAGCGCCGCCAGCGAGTCCGCCGTCAGTGGCAGGCCACGATCATGCAGCAGTTCCCGCTGCGAGTAAAAGTCGTTGTCGCCCACGAGCACAAGCTCGACCTCGCCCATGCCTGCCAGCCGCTCCCGCGCCGCCTCGGTCACCCCGTCCGCCCCACAGCACACATAACCGAGCGCGTACGCCAGCGCCGTCCCCACATAAGGGTTCGGCCCAGGGGAGCCATCATCGCCATCGCCATCGCCATCGCCGTCTGCGCGCGAAAATTGGTACTTGCCCAACCCGAGGCTCTGCCACGCGTATCGGCGCACTTCGCCAAATTGCGGCGAGCGAACCACAAAGTTTGTCGTCCAGCCATCGGCAGCCGTCGTCGCCGTCGAGTCTGCCGCGGTGGTGGCGGCGGTGGTGGTGGTGGCTGAGACGTAGAAGCGGGCCGAGACGCCAGCAGTCATGCCCGTGTGCGGGCGCTCAAGGACGAGGTAGCCACCGGTGAGAAGGACCTTGCCCGGGGCAGACACTACCGTAGTTGCTGCCATGTTGTTGCTTTTGCTGCGCCGAGTCAAGTCTGTCTGCTCTCTATGTCCTATGTCCCTGTCTGCTGTCCGAGGGGAGCAGGGAGGGGAGGGGTCCACAGGCTGGCAGTCGACCACCACCCAGCCATCACCCAGCCACCACCCAGCCATCACCCAGCCATCACCCAGCCATCACCCAGCCACCACCCAGCCATCACCCAGCCATCACCCAGCCATCACCCAGCCATCACCCAGCCATCACCCAGCCATCACCCAGCCATCACCCAGCCATCACCCAGCCACCACCCAGCCATCATCCAGCCATCACCAAGCCACCACCCAGCCATCACCCAGCCATCACCTAGCCATCAACCAGCTGTCACTCATGCAGCATGCACCTATCGCCAAGCCAGCACCCAGCTAACATGCAAGCACCAACTAGCGATCAAGCAGCCATCATGGTGCTAGATCAAGCTAGAGAGCGGGAATCGCCTTGAG